TGCGGGTGTGGGCTGCCATGGAAAAGGTTTCAGGGGGTGGGTGGTGTTAAGATCTGAAAGCCACTTTTCTGCAGCTCTTCAAGTTCTGTATTTTGTTTATTTACTTGTTTTTATTGGAAAAGCTGATTCGATTTACAGAGTGAAGGAGAGACAATGGCCACTACAGCTGGAGCTGAGCTGATCCTAAGTCAGGAGCCAGGAGTTTCTTCTGGGTCTCCCACAGGGGTGCAGGGTCCCAAGCCTTTGGACCATCCTCTCCTGGCTTTCCAGGTTACAAGCAGGGAGCTGGAAGGAAAGTGGAGCAGCTGGGACATGAATTGGTGTCTATATGGGACCCTGGTGCTTATAAAGTAAGGATTTAACCATTGAACCATTGTGCCAGGCCCCATTTCTGTATTTTAAAAACATTTTTTTTTTTTAATGTTTGTAAGATTTTATTTTGACATTTTTTACAAAGTTAATTAGGGTAAGAAGGTTCAAGGGCTACATGAAAGTGGATAATACTAGTATGTTTTCCATATTGTTACCTTCATGTTTAAAGGGGGTTATTTAAGGGAGAAGGCCCACCCAATTTCCCACCCTCCCCAGGTCCCAGATGTAGGGCATGCTCTGAGGTTCTTGCTCAAGTGGTTTTGATATTGCCACAGTCATGAATCACTGTCAATCTTGCCACTCCAAGCACTATGAGATCTTTGAAAAATCAACTGATTGACATAGTCCATCATAGCTGAGATGGTTGGTTGACCTGTTCTGTCTTCTCTGTTTTCTTTGTTAGGGTTCTGAGTCCAGCATTTAGATTAGGAAGATCTCCAAAGAAACTTCTTGTATGTGCTAACAAGTACAGGGCCTGGCACCGTCCATCGCTCCAATCAGCTGGTGGTTGCAGTTGCTGGGTTGGTACTGTTTTCACTCCCGACTTCCACTGGAACCAATGGGTGTTGCAGTCCAGCCTGGTTCTGCCCAGCACATACTTGGCCCTCACATAAACCAGCGGGAGCTGCAGCCTAGGTTGGAGCGACCCACAATAACCCCCACCAGGCCCACTCCCTACCCTGGTTTGCCAGTAAGTGTAGCAGTAATCCAGTCTGTCCCACACCCCATTCCACCCCAGCCGCTATCTTATTTATCTTAGTTTTATGTCCTGTGAAAGTGGTAACCCAAGAGGGATGAGCCCACTATTTCCCTCCCAGGCCTCTCCCACTCCCAGATTCCGGTTGATGCTGCGTCTAAGCCCAAACAACCCTTGCCCACTTTAATTTTGCTTGCACCAGTAGGAATAATCCGCCCAGCCCGGCTTTTCCCTGATCTGGTCCGCATGAGGCGCACAGGTGTGGTAGCTCTGCCTAGTCTGGTCTGCCCCCATCCCAGCCCATGCTCTCCTGCGGAAGTAGCTGTCCTGCAAAGGAACCCTCCCTTATTCCCCTGCCGGCTCTGCCCACTTCCTTTCTTGTTCTCAGGCTGGTAGGGCGCTGCGGTCCCTTCCGGTACAGGCAACCTCACCTCGGCATTCCATAATGTGCACTAGTCTTTGTTGCGACCAACCCTAGGTCGACCCACACTGGTGCCTGGATTTGCCAGTGGATAATGTGGACAGATTCAGCCTGGTCTTGCCCCCACGTCAGCCAATTGTATGCCAGTGGGTAGGTTTCCATGGCCTTTTCTGGGCTGTTTCCTATCATGTTTCTTGCGTTTACCTGCCAGGTCTGTGTCCTGCCAGAGGAGTTGCCCAGGCTCCTCCATCAGAACCTCTCCCAATGCCAGGTTTCACGCTTACCAGTGGGTCCATGAGCCAACCCTACTCAGTCCACCTCCTGTAATAACAGGAACTGTGGCTTTTCCTGACTGGCCTTCCACCCAATCTGGTTCTTGCTGTTGGATGTTCCAGCCCAGCCATGGTTTGTCTATACCCACATATGGCTCACACATGGCTCAGTAGGGGTTTGAGACCCTGCCTGGTCCATCCCACATCTGCCCTGGTCCTCCAGAACACCAGGGGGAGTCGGGGTCCGGCCCGGTTTGGTGCATCCAATCCCAGTCCACACTTGTGCCAAGGGAGACTACAACTGCTTCCAGATCAGAACGCAGCTCCCCTTCCAGGCCATATGCCTCTTGGTGGGAACCTCAGCCCAGCTAGGGTTGTCCCCTTTGCTCCCCTAAAAACATTTTTTTTTATTTGAAAGAATGATAGGGAAAGAGAGAAAATGGGGGAGAGAGAGATCGTCTGTTAATTCATCCTACTTTACCCCCAAGTAGCTACAGCAGCCAGGGCTGGAGCAGGGAGAAGCCAGGAGCCAGGAGCTCTACCCAGGTTTCCTACTTGGGTGCAGGGGCCCAAGCACATGGGCCTTCTTACACTGCTTTCCCAGGCACATTAGCAGGGAGCTGGAGCAGAAGTGCAGTAGCTGGGGTTTGCACTAACACTAGGATATGCGATTCCGGTGTCCGAAACTCTAACTTGTTGCACCACAACTCTGGCCCCTCTATTTCTCCAGCCTAGAACTCTCCTGTGTACCCAAATGCCTGGTGCAAACTCTGCTTGGACATCTCCCTTGGAGATCTTTAACCTGACACCTTCAGAATTAACTTAAGACCCAGGCCCCAAACGTGGGTTTTCTCTTCCACTCTGCATTTCTGGGAAAGACCTCCTTGTCTATCCAGTTGCAGCTGCTGGGATCCTGGACATGGTGCTGGCCACTCACTCTGCTCTCAGTGGGTCAAACACAGCTCCACATCTTTTTTTTCTTAAGATTTATTTTATTATTTTTAAAAGATTTATTTATTTATTGGAAAGGCAGATATATAGAGAGGAGGAGATACAGAAAGATCTTCCATCCACTGGTTTACTTCCCAACTGGCTGCAAAGGTTGGAACTGAATTGATCTGAAGCCAGGAACCAGGAGCCAGGAGCTTCTTTTGGGTTTCCCACTCTTGAATGCAGAGTCCCAAGGTCTTGGGTCATCTCCACTGCTCTCCCAGATCACAAACGGGGAGCTGGATGGGAAGTGGAGTAGCTGGGACAAGAACCAGCACCCATATGGAATGCTGGCACATGCAAGGTGAGGAGTTCAGGCAGTAGGCTACCGTGCAGGGCCCTGAATTTTTGTTTTTAAAGCAGGGGTTCCACTGTGTAGCAGTGGTTTCTTTCACTGCCTTATCAAAACCTTCATTGCTATTTATGTCACTTTCTAACTTGAGTCTCAGGGACTTCTTTTGAAAGGCTGATGGTCTTCCATCCACTGGTTCACTCACCAAATGTCCCCAACAGCTGGGCCTGGACCAGGCTGAGCTGGAGCTGGGGGCTCAAGCGCTGGGGCCACCTTCTGCTGCCTCCAGGGTTTGCAGGGAGCTGGGGTGTGGGACGCTGCACCCCAAAGGCCAGGCTGAATGCCAGCACCATTCTCAATGTGGCTTTTAAGTTGGGTGTTTTCTTGTCCTTCCCCTGACCCCACAAACACTCTGTGCTCCAATATGTCCGCAGCTCCTCCTGGCGCTTACACTTGTGCCAAGTCATGTTCTTTTTCAAGAAATCTTGGGTCCGGCATGGTGGCGTAGTGGTTAAGGTCCTCGTCTTGCACACCCGGGATCCCATATGGGCGCCAGTTCTATCCCGGCAGCCCCGCTTCCCTTCCAGCTCCCTGCTTGTGGCCCGGGAAAGCAGTCGAGGACGGCCCAAAGCTTTGGGACCCTGCACCCACGTGGGAGACCCAGAAGAGGGTCCTGGCTTCAGATCAGCATAGCATCGGCTGTTGCGCTCACTTGGGGAGTGAATCATTGGACGGAAGATCTTCCTCTCTGTCTCTCCTCTCTGTATATCCGCCTTTCCAATTAAAAAAATAATAAAAATAAATCTTAAAAAAAAAGCAATCTTTTAAAAAAAGAAATCTTTCAGAATTTCAGACAATTTCTATTTAAGTGGAAATTTTTTTGAGGGGGTTGATATGAATTTTGTTATTACAAAGATAACTGTACTGGTACTTATCCAAGCACACTGCCTGGGACCCATGGTTACACCTGGAGGCTGGCACTCCTGCCACCCACGTGGGAGACCCCTCCATGGAGTTCCCTGCTCCTGGCTCCAGCCTGGCCCAGACCCGGGCCTCTTCGGCCATCTTGAGTGACCTCGCTTCTCAAAAAAAAAAAAAAAAAAAAGCAAACTTTTTTTCACGGCAGCCACTGTGCCTCACTCTAATGGCGCTCAGCTGAAGTGGTCTGCGCCTCTGCCAATCGGGTATCCTCCGCCTCCAGGCCCAGCAACAGCGTGCTTTTGTACCTTGGGAGCTGCTGGACCAGGAGAGGAAGCAGGGGTAGGTCTGTTCTGCGGCAGCTGGGGGCCAGAAGGGAGGCTCTGAGGCGGGGGATGGGCCTGGAGGCAGCCTCTTCCTTCTCTCCCTGCAGGAGAGTGGTGGGGAGGGGCGGAGACAGGCTCCCCTGCTTGGGGCCAGCTTGGCGGAAGGGGTGGGGGGGGCAGGAGAAGGCAGCCTGCCTTTCTCCGGCCCCGAGGGAAGGAAGGAGGGATGGGGGGAGGGCGCAGACTGCACGAGGCCAAGTGTCTGGCAGCTGGGGGAGGGGGAGCAGCCAGGAGGGGTTAGAGCAGGCTTTTTCCAGGAGCTCTGGCAATGGCTTCAGGCCCTGCCAGGGAAATCAAGAACCTTGGGAGCTTTATTCCCGCCTGGAGCTCTAGCCCTGAGGGGTCAGGAAGGCCTAAAAGTCCCTCCTATCAGGAAAAGATGTTTTCCTAAACTCAAGAACAATTTGTCTCCTGTTTATGGCCCCTAGAATGCCACTCTCAGGTCTGGTTTCTAACTTGCCTGTAGGCAGTTAGGCAGGCCAGCCAGGATCAACCTTGGCTGCCCACGGGAATGCTGGGGGCTGGGTAGGGGCCCTAAAGGCCTGGCCTGCTGCAGTAGGTGTGGAGTGCTGCCTGCAGGGAAGTGCCATGAACTCAACTGGCCCACTGTGTGACTGCGCCAGCATGGTAAGGAAACACTGCATGCAACGTGTCAGCAATACAAAAGATAAATATTTATTCAGAACAAAACTTTCAACCATTGATTTTACATTCTAAGCCACGAGAAAATAGCAAAACATGTAGCAAAGGATAAACAAAAATTAAAAAGCAGTGTACTGCCTTTTCTACTTGAACTTAATTAACACTTAGTTGACCATGCCCTCTGGCCTGTTTCCCAAGAACGGTTCAGTGTGAACTGTCCACTCATAATTCTGGGGGAAAGCGGCCTGTGTCCGGAGGCAGGAGGTCAGAGGTCGCTGTGGAGCTGCCGCTCAGGGTGCACGAGTGGACCTGGGCAGGGCAGGGCACCCCCATTTCTCACAGATGGCAATGAAATGAGCGGGAAAGGGGGAGGCCTCCAAGGGTCCCAGCCATACTTGAATCCACAGGTGGTACCTTGGGAAGCAAGCCGTGAGCCCTGGATATCACCTACACCCAGGCAGTGCAAAGCCCCTTCCGGATGACTTCTCAGCAACTCCGGGCACATTCTGGAGAGATGAGCCTGTTGGGCCCACAAAGGTTGAGGAAATTGTTGTGAAGTGTGAGAGGTAGTGGGATGAGCACCGGGCTTGGGGGCAGGGAACTCCACTAGAGGCTCACTCGGGCAATAGACAGCTGTGTGACTTCGAGCCAGCGCTGGCTACCTTCCCAGGGGACTACTGTGTTCTGGACCAAGGCTCAGGCCACAGAATCCTATGAAACACCGGCTTTGGAGCCACGCACAGAGCTGTCCCAAGTCCACCCATTTCTTATGCCATTAGAGAGGCCCTTGGCCACCATTCAGAGCTTATTGATTCAGAGAATATACACTTCTAACAACACTGATTTCACAGATTCTCAGACCACGGAAGCAGCAAGTGATAGGGGGATGGGGGAGGGAGCTGCGCAAGGCAGACACACTGACTGTTTTCAATTCAACAAACACTGATGGAGTGCCTACCACGTGCTGGGCTCCCTAACCTAGTGCGGGGCCTGGCAGCACAAGGGTTGAAAACAATCGGGGGAGAAGACAAGGCCTGGGCAGTTTGGTACCAAAAAAAAAAAATTAATAATAATAAAAATAATAAAAAATAATAAAGGAAACCCGAGATACAAAAACGAAAATAGAGTTTAAAAAAAAACGAGGGAGGGGACAACCGTGTCTGCACGCTCCTCCAACTTTCCGTAGTGGCTGCTGCTGACGGAAGTCACCAACTCAACAGCTCCGCAAATGCAGCAAACTCGGTGTTAAGAAGGCATAGAGATGTCTCTCGTAGGTTTTTAAAATATCTCCTTCAAAAATGATAAAAAACGGTTTGAAAAAAGGGTTTTGGCACTTAAGGGGGTGGGGTAAGCTGGCTTTAGTGTTCACGAGGGCGGGCGGGCGGGCGGACGGACCGACAGGCGGGCGTTCAATGTCCGGCCACGCCGGTGAGCTGCGCTGCAGCCACCGAATTGTGAACTGCTTTGGGACACTGGGCAAACGCGTGTCCCCGCTTCCCACAGAGGTTGCATACGATGCCCTTTCGGCAGTAAGGGCTCAGGTGCCCTTCCTCCCCACACCTGAAGCACCTGTCTTGCGTGCAGTTGCCGCTCATGTGGGTCCGGGAACCACATTTAAAGCACGTCTTGGGCTGCCCCTTGTACCAGCTGTAACCCCGCTCAGCCCCAAGGAAGAAAGCCCCCGGCAGGTGCCTAACACCGCCCTCCCCCTGGCGCAGCTCGATCTCGCATTTGTACTCCCCGGTCCAGATCCCAAACCTATCGGTCACTTTCACGGGCACGGCCAGCACGTCGCAGTGGCGCTTGAGCCAGGTCACGATGTCCTCCACGTCCACCGTCTCGTTCCGGAAGAGGATGAAGAGCGTCTTCAGGCTGGACTTGCTCCGCCCCAGCACCACAAAGTTCTCCCAGCAGTCCTCCTGCTCGCGCTTCTCCTCGTACACGCGGAGGAACAGGGCCAGCTTCTCCGCCGAGCGGAAACTCACGTCGAACTCGCGGCTGCCCGGGATCTGAATGACCGCGAAGATGTCGCTCGGGTCCATGCCGATGGAACGCAGGATGAGCGCGCCCACCACAAAGTCCCGGGTCGGGCAGGCGCCTTCGTCTCCCTGGAAACAGATACGCACCAGAAAGCGACCCTTGCCCGGGCCCCCAGCCGCCGCCGCCTGTTCCTCCTGGACCGATGGCTCCGCGTCGTCCTCGGCCGCGCCGAGCCTCGCCGGGGTCGCCATCATCGCCGCCGTCTCGGCTTTCTTCCTCCTGCCCGCCTCGGCGGCGCCCGCTTTTTTCTTGCGGGGGTCTACCCCCTCTCCGGAGGGGTCTCTCCGGTGGCCTTTCGGGTCGCCGCGGCCGGCCGGAGGGAAGTCGCCGAGGCTCGGTACCGCCAGGCCTGCGGGGGCGCTGAGCCCGCCACCCGCGCCGCACGCGCCGCCTTCTTCCTCCCGCCGCGGCGGCCGAGACTCGCGGAACTCGCCTTTTTTCTCGGCCAGGTTCTTCACCACCTGGGCCCAGCCCAGCTTCTCGCGGCCGCCGTCGGCCTCCTCACCTCGGGCCGCCGCTGGCCGCGCCAGAGGCAGGAGCTGGGGCCTTGCCCGCTTCCTCTCCTCTTCCGCGCTGCCGCCGCCGCCGCCGGTGGCCATGTTACCTCCTTCCCAGCATCCTCCACTCACTCCCGCAGCCGAAAGGCGCCCATCGCGCGCGCCCGCCCGCCCAGAGCTGACGGGGGGTTGGGGCTTTTTTTTTTTTTCTCTGCTTTTTAAAAAAAAATCGGACGCTTTTCTCCCCGCCCCCCGAAAGGTATTTCCTCGCGGCGCGGCGGGGTCAGCGCCGCCCCGAGCGCGTTGGAAGGTGCCGGGCGGGGTGGGCGCCGCGCCCGCCGCATCCCCAGCTCCTCTCCCCGGGCCGTCGGAGGCGCTCGGCCGCGTCCCTTCTCCCCCTGCGCCGACTTGGCAGCGTCGGGCCTCGCTCTCGAGGATTTGGGATTTCGCAACCGGCCCTCGAGGCGGCGGTACTCACGCCCTCACGGCCCGAGGGCGGGATGCAGTTGGACGCGAGTTGGCGGCGAGTCTCACCCATTTTGTTTTCTCTGCCTTTCTCTGTTTAAAAAGCAACGAGATTGGGTTCCCGCTTCCCTCGCAGCGTGCCGCGTGCAGCGATGGGTTAAGGATATTTTCAAGCGTAGTTAGAAAAGTACTGCAACGAACATTTCTACTTTTAACTTTTTCGAATTAAGTTTTTTAGTAGTTAAAACACAAATTAGATTGATTTATTTGAAAGGCACAATTACAGATATCAGGCCTGCGCAATGGCACAGTGGTTAAATCCTTGCTTTCCACGCGGCGGGGATCCTATATGGGTACTGATGCTTCATTTCCCACCCAGCTTCCAGCCTCTGGCCTGGGAAAGCAGTGGAGCACGGCCCAAAGCCTTGGGACCTGTAGCCGCGTGGATGACCTGGAAGAAGCTCCTGGTTTCTGGCTTTGGAGGGCTCAGCTCCAGCCGTTGCGGCCGATATGTCTCCTTTCTGTACATCTGGCTTTCCAATGACGATTTTTAGAATCTTTAAAGAAAATTACATTGTCCATGCCCACAATAATGGACATATGACTGTGTATGAAGAACTATACTATAGTAATGATATAGGGGAGCTCAGTGAGGGGGGGATTGGGATAAGGGAAATCCCAGGGCCTATGGAACTGTATCGTAAATAATAATAAGTAAATTTTTAAAAATAAACAATTTTTAAAAATTACAGATCTAACATCTGTAATGGCACTTGAAGGTGGAAGAACAGCGCATTGAAACACAGCATCAGCGAGGAAGGATGGCATTTAAAAAAATATACTTTATTTTAATTGGAAAGTCAGATATACAGAGAGGAGGAGAGACAGAGGAAGGTCTGTCCTTTTTTTTTTTAAAGATTTATTTTTGTTATTTTTTCATTGGAAAGGCGGATATACAGAGAGGAGAGACAGAGAGGAAGATCTTCCGTCCGATGATTCACTCCCCAAGTGAGCGCAACGGCCGATGTTATGCCAATCCGAAGCCAGGAGCCTCTTCCTCCAGGTCTCCCACGCGGGTGCAGGGTCCCAAAGCTTTGGGCCGTCCTCGACTGCTTTCCCAGGCCACAGGCAGGGAGCTGGAAGGGAAGCGGGGCTGCCTGGATTAGAACCGGCGCCCATATGGGATCCCGGGCGTGCAAGGTGAGGACCTTTAACCACTTGCGCCACCACGCTGGGCCCAGGTCTGTCCTTTGATTCACTCCCTAAGCAGCCAGCCATAACAGCTGAAGCTGTGCCGGTGTGAAGCCAGGAGCCAGGAACTTCTTTCTGGTCTTCCACATGGGTTTAGGGTCCCAAGGTTTAGGGCTGTACTCAACTGCTTTCCCAGGCCACAAGCAGGGAGCTGGATGGGAAGTGGGTCTGCAGGGATTGGAATTTGTGCCCCTATGGGATCCTGGTGCATGCAAGGCGAGGACTTCAGCTGCTAGGCCACGGTGCCGGGCCCCCTGAGCTGCTGCTTTCTAAGAGGAAACCACTCGATTTTCTCTGCAGGCATGAGGGTTGTGTTTTTGTGCAGAGACCCATGGGATGTGTATTTATAACGTCATTGCTGGGTCTCACAAGACTATTGTCTTAAAAATTCACCTGCCATGTACTCAATTTTGAGTCCTTGCTGCTGTTGCCTTCGCAGAGCCAGACTCAGTGCTTTGACAGTTCTTGGATATGCTCCCCGCCTCTAATGGGAAACCTTCCCTGATCAGTGTCTCCTCTTTGTTGGGATCCTTCAAGCAAAGTTTAAGACTACTGATTTACCAGAAACTATTTTTAAAATGTTATTTATTTTTATTAGGCAAACTTACAGAGAGGAGACACAGAGAGGAAGATCTTCCTTCTACTGGTTTATTCCCCAAGCAGCCACAATGGCTGGAGCTGAGCTGATTCAAAGCCAGAAGCTTCTTCCTGGTCTCCCACGCAGGTGCAGGGTCCCAAGGTCTTGGGCCGTCCTCAACTGCTTTCTCAGGCCATAAGCAGGGAGTTGGATGGGAACTGGGGCAACTGGGATCCGAGCCAGTACCCATATAGGATCCTGGCGCTTGCAAGGGGAGGACTTTAGCTACTAGGCTATCACGCTGGGTTCCAGAAACTATTTTATAGGATTGGAATTGGAATTGCATGGCATTTGTATGACCACCTGGTAAAGCAAAGTCTTCCCATCTATGATCCTACTTTCTCATTTATTTGGGTCTTGTGAATTTCAATAAAGTTGGTATAGAGTTGTATTTGTAAAGGTCTTGCATAATTTTGGTGACTTATTCCAAGAAAACCACATGGCTTGGTTGTATTATAAGTGTAGTGATTGTAAATGTAAAAAAAAAAAAAACAAAACACATTGATTTTCATTTTATTTTAAAGCGACAGGTCTTCTTTTAAAAAGCTTTAAAAAAATATCTTGATGCAGATATAGTTTCAAAATGCATTTGTAATGTGGAAGAGAGATCGTAGTCATGTTAGCTCACTCCCCAAACACCTGCCACGGCCAAGGGTGAGTTAAGTGCATCTTTGCTGCCTGTCAGGGCATGTGTGGGAGGGCAATGGAATAGATGGGACAAGAACAGGGCACTCCCCTGTGGGATTCAGGGTTGGGGTTGCCCCAAATGATGACTTGACTGTTGTGTCAATCCTTGTTGGTGTTTCAGAGGGAATGCAGTTGAGTTTTTAAAAACACTTACTTACTTACTTGTTTTGAAAGGCAGAAAAAGGTGTCTTCATCTGCTGGTTCATTACACTCCCCAAATGGCCACAATGGCTGTCCCCAGACACGCACTTGGGAGACCCAGGATAGAGCTCTTGGCTCCTGCTTTTGCCTGGCCCTAGCTCTGACTGTTGTAGCCATGTAGGGAGTGACCCAGCAAGTGGAAGGATCTCTGTTTTTGTGCCTGTCTCTCTGGCCACACTGCCTTTCAAGCAAACCAATCAACCATTCTTTAACAAAGTCAGTCTGGAGGTCGGTAGCTCAGAGCTGAGATTGTGACTTCTGCGTGTTAGGAACCAGGATTCTTCTGTTTGCTCTATCCTGTGTGTTCAACATTTCACGGTCCAAATGGATACTGAGCTTGTGCCATCCCCTCCCATTCTAGCAGGTGGAAGGAGGGATGGAGGGGAAAGACATGCCACTTCCCTTGAGGATACTTCCTGATGCATTACATGGACTTGAACTTGGCTGCATCCACCTGCACCTCAGTCCAAGTTCTTATTGGTGGAATTTTTGGGACTTGCACTAGTTTCTTCTGTTTTCCTGAAACAGAAAATGAAAGAAGGAAAGATGAAGGGAGGGAGATCCAAAGACTGAGACTGTGCACAGGAGACAGAGTGGGGAGAGAAGGAGGACACTAAGTTAGGCTAAAGCTGAGAATCAGGAACTTCATCCAGGTCTCACATAAGGTCACCTGCTGCCTCCCATGGTCTGGAGCCAAGACCGAGCCTGGGCACTCCCCACGGGGCCTTAACTGAGAGAAGGAGACACACAAGATCGGCTGGAATAGAACTGATCCAATCCAAAGCCAGGAGCCAGAAGCTTCTTCTGGGTCTCCCACGCAGGTGCAGGGTCCCAAGGCTTTGGGCCATTTTCTGCTGCTTTCCCAGGCCACAAGCATGGAGCTAGATGGGAAGCAGGGCTGCTGGGATTAGAACCGGCGCGGTCAATGTGAGGACTTTAGCTGCTAGGCTATCGCGCTGGGCACAAGTTATTTATTTTTATTGGAAAGTCAGTTTTACAGAGAGAAGAGACAGAAAGAGCTTCCGTCTGCTGGTTCACTCCCCAAATGGCTGCAATGGGAGCTAGGACAGAAGCGGCGCAGCCGGGACACAACTGGAGCTGACATGGGATCCCAGGCCTGCAAGGTGAGGATTCAGTTGTTGAATCATTGTCCTGGGAACCCACAATGATTTTCCTACTGAAAGGTTGAGTAAAGCCACCAGGGAGTGGACAAGCAAGTGGCGGAGAAATATGTGACTTTTTAGGATAACAGGCAGATCAAATTGAGGGGTATTTGAAAACAAGGTTGCAAAGACAGCAAGTGTGCAGCATGCTTTGCCTGGAGAGGTCAGTCCCTCCAGGCCATCCGTAGTGTCCTTGGATCGCGTTTCCTTGGAGACCGAGACGCGAGGCCAGTAGTGTGTCGAATTGGGAACTTTTAGAGTGGCCCGTTTATTACGAGATCCACGCCGAGATCCTTCTTCTTGTGGAGAAGCCGGTAGGAACTCCAGGAGCTCAGGGCCTCCCGGACTGACGCCTCTTCTTCCATCTTCCCTAATGGCGAACAGCATCCAGAAGTGAGTGAAAGGCGCCTTGCAGGGTGGCGGGGCGCATGCGTGGTCCTCTCCGCTAGCCTTTCCACTGCCCCGTCCTGGCCCCGCCCACAGCCCAGAGCCCCGCCCACTCGCCCTTTCCCGCTCGGGTCGGGATGCCGGGCCGCCTAAATGGCCATTTCCTATTCCAGACTCCACGCGGGTCTCAAAGTTGCTTCTCGCAGTAGCAGAGGCTGGCGATGATGGAAGTTCTTTCTCTTCCCGATTCTTTGCAGACCCAGCCACTCTGAGACGCACTCCACCTCCCGCAAATTGCAGGTTCTGGTGAGTGCTGGAGGGTTGGGAAGAAGGGGCTTGCTGACCCCCGCAGGCACCTGCTCTCCCGCCCGCGGTGGTTGTTGTGACAGCTCCTCCGCAATTCCAATTTGCAGTGGGATGCGAGCCTCGTTAGCATTTTCCTGCAGCTTCGTCAGAGTGTAGGAGTAAATGGTGCTGCTGTGTTACTTTCTGGTTTCCCAAGCGTGGGACTGGTCCCAAGGGCCGGTCTCTGGTTTCCCAAGGGTGGGGACTGGGTCTTTTCCGTTCCTTCTGCTTCTCATAACGCTTGGCACTTTGTTGCCTAGATGCGATCAGTAATTTCTAGCTATACTAAAAAGCAAAGCAAAACAAAACAACCCCCAAACCTCACAGTTTGTGGAGCGCCTACAACGTGTTTTGCAAATGTCATGTGTTGGAATTCTTTCGCAAGTCTTCAGGACTAGAGTTTATGATTAAATCCACCTCAGAGGTGAGAAAACCGAGGCTCAGGAAGGGTGTCGGTTGGTAGAGGTCCCAGATGTCTCTGAAAGGTGGGACTTGGATTGGAACTCCTTGCTTGGTGATGGATGGGTCATGTTCTGTTACAGTGGTCAAAGAAGAAAACCAAGCCCCCTCTTCTGCCTCCACTCCAACCACAAGCTGGCAGCGGTGGCCACAATAAAAGCAAAATCAAGACTTTCACCAAGTTCCAGCCAGGTGGGCAGAAGCCTTTGGGGGTTGGTGTGGGGGTCAGGGGCCCCGGTGTCACTGTTGCTGTGAGGTTAGGGTAACTAGCGACTTCCAGATTTGAGCATCGGTGCACCTCCCGCTTCTGTCCAGGGTCATTTCTGGGCCTGGGGGTGGGGCACCTGTCCAGGGTCCTTCGGGAATCAGCCCCTTTGGCCTCTGGCTCCCGCTGTGTCCTAATGCCCATCTTCTGCTGGAGAAGGGGCGTGGAGAGAGAACAGGGACCTGGGTGACCTCATGGGCAGTGACTTCTGTTCAGGTTGCAGGGGCTGTAACTCTGTCCCATGATTGCCTGCTGTGGCTCCAGGAAGTGGACATGTGGTTGGGTGAATTCACAGGATGGTCTCGGCTGTGTTGTGGTGGTCATGCTTTCCAGGGCATTTGGAGACCGCGGCTCAGGTGGACACAGGTTCAAATCTTGACCTCCCTATTCATCGCTTTGGAATCCATGTCTCTCTCCACCTCGGTCCTGGTGCTATGAGGAATTGGAAGGGCTGGAACATTCTTCAACAGGCCCCTTTCCTAACACGTGCTGTGTAGCACTCCTTTAGTGTTTGGGAGTGTACCTCACGGATTCTAGAACGTGTACACACAAGGTGCGCATGTCATTACATCCCTGGAGGCCCCGGGTAGAAGATGGTGCGGGGTGCAAGGACTGAATGGCAGAGCAGCTCCACTTCTCACCATTTGTTCTGCCTGGTAGAGGTTGGAGTTTAGCTCCCCTGGGGGGAAACCTCTGCTCAGCTCCTTGGGGGGAGGCCTGTACTCAGCTCCTTGGGGGACCCCTCTGCTCAGCTCCTTGGGGCAGGGGTGACCTCTGACAGCTGCTGGCAGGACCAGTGCAGGTGCGGGCAGGGGGACAGATTCTCCTTACACAGTCTCAGGCTCATTACCGCTGAGCGAAAGTGGAGATTGAGCTCACTGCCCAGTTGCACCAGTACTACCTGCCGGTTGGGGACTGGGAGATGCTCACCCAGCCTTGTGAGCCAAATCGCCAGCAAGGACCTGGAGAAGCACAGAGGCTGAGAATGGAAGATTAGCACGCCACCTCACCCTCTGTGCTACCCAGCAAGAAAAGGGAGCAAAGCCATACAAACAAGCCTGGCTGATTTAAAAAAAGAAAGATTTATTTATTTTTATTGGAAAGTCAGATATACAGAGAAGAGGAGAGACAGAGAGGAAGATCTTGCATCCATTGATTCACTCCCCAAATGGCCGCAACGGCCAATGCTGCGCCTATCCGAAGCCAGGAGCTAGGAGCTTCTTCCGGGTCTCCCATATCAGTTCAGGATCCCAAGGCTTTGGGCCATCCTGGACTGCTTCCCCAGGCCAAAAGCGGAACTGGATGGGAAGCAGGGCTGCCAGGACATAAAATGGCGCCCATATGGGATCCCCATGTGTGCAAGGCGAGGACTTTAGCCACAAGGCTGCTGTGCCCAGGTTCTAACTTTTTTTAAAAAAATATTTATTTATTTGAAAGGCAGACTTACAGAGAGGGAGAGATCTTCCACTCACTGGTTCACTCATACTCCCCAAATGGCTACTGCAGCCCAGAGCTTCTTCAGGGTCTCCCACATTGGTGCAGCAGTCCAAGTCCTTGGGCCACCCCTTGTTTCTTTCCCAGATGCCTTAGCAAGGAGCTGAAGCAGAAGTGGAGCAGCCAGGACTCCAACCAGCACCCCATGGGGTGTTGGGGTTGCAGGTGGATGGCCACAGTACCGACCCCAAAAGCAAATCTTGATTAAAGTCCCACAACTTACACAAATCAAAGGTGTCGGTGTTGTCCGGTAGGTAAGCTACTGCCTGTGACAGCAACATCTCAAATCTTAAAAAAAAAAAAGCAAAGAAACCCTGGTGCACCCCACTGTGGAATGCCACCCAGCACCCAATACGCGAGCGCTGTTGGCACACTGGGTGCGTCTCTGGAGAATGCTGCGCTGTGAACAGTGATCTGATTCTACTTCCGGGAGTGACAAAATGATGGAGAAGTGGAGCACAGTGACAGGTGCTGGGGGGAGGGGGACTGAAGGTGGGGGAGGGAGCAGGAGGCAGGACGGCCGTGGGGGCGCTGCACCTCTTGCCAGCACCCTGGCTGTGACACTGCACTGTCCATCAGCTGTGGTGCCTTGGGGAAATGGAGTGAACGGCACACACAGCCTCTCTGTCCGTGTCTCTGGACTTGGGCTAAAATAAAAACTTAATTACACAACAGGGCTACTCCCATGAGAGCAACACTATTTTTTTTTAAAGATTTACTTATTTTTATTGGAAAGTCAGATATACAGAGAGGATGAAAGACAGAGAAGATCTTCCGTCCGATAATTCACTCCCCAAGTGAGCGCAACGGCCGATGCTATGCTGATCCAAAGCCAGGATCCAGGAACTTCTGGGCATCCCACATGGGTGCAGGGTCCCAAAGCTTTGGGCCATCCTTGACTGCTTTCCCAGGCCACAAGCAGGGAGCTGGATGGGAAGTGGAGCTGCCAGGATTAGACCCAGCACCCATATGGGATCCCTGTGCATTCAAAGCGAGGACTTTAGCCGCTAGGCCACACTTCCGGGCACAACACTATTTTTTTTTTTTAAGATCTATTTTTAAAAAATTTTATTGGAAAGTTAGATATGCAGAGAGGAGGAGAGACAGAGAGGAAGATCTTCTGTCTGTTGATTCACTCCCCAAGTGGCCACAATGGCTGGAGCTGAGCTGATCCAAAGCCAGGAGCCTGCGTCTTCTTCTGGGTCTCTCACATGAGTACAGGGTCCCAAGGCTTTGGGCCATCCTTCACTGCTTCCCCAGGCCACAAGCAGGGAGCTGGATGGGAAGTGGAGCCGCCGGTATATGAATTGATGCACATATAGGATCCCGGAGATGGAAGGTGAGGTCTCTAGTCACTAGGCTACTGTGCTGGGCCCTGATACAGTTTTTTATATCTAAGAAAGAAACTTCCCAAATGTGGGGAGTCTTGTATTCTCTTAAAAGTTTGGGCCCAATGTTTGGGCTCAATTCGCTAATCCTCTCGCCTCAAGCATCAGGATCCCATATAGGTAGGTGTTGGTTTATGTCCTGGCTACTGCATTTCTGATCTAATCCAACTCTTTGCTTGTAGCCTGAGAAGGCAGAGGAGGATGGCCCAAAGCCTTGGGACCTTGCACCCGAGTGGGGGACCCGAAAGAAGCTCCTGGCTTCAGATCAGCTCAGCTCCGGCCGTTGTGGCCACTTGCCCGATGATCCACCGGATGGAGGATCTCTCTGTGTGTCTCTTTCTCTCTGTATATCTGCCTTTCACAAAAAAAAAAAAGCTTCAGTAATTTACACAGATGAATAATAATGCCTTAAATGGTTATCTTTCTAAAACACTTTTTAAAAGAAAAAGATTTATTTATTTTTATTGGAATGGTAATAAGGATTCCCCCATCCACTGACTGACTCCCTAAATGCCTGCAACAACCAGGGCTGGGCCAGGCTGAAGCCAGGTGCCTGCAGCTCCGTCTGGGTCTTCCCTGTGGATGGAGGGGGTGACTTCCCATTTCTCAGGGTGTGCATTAGTGGGAAACTGAAATCAGATGCTTAGCCAGGACTCGAACCTAGGAACCTCCTATGAGGATCCTGGGTGGCACTGCATCAAACGCCTGTCTCTCTGGATGCCCCTGTGCTCGGTCGCCTCCTTCGTATGTTCCCATCATCACTGCGTCCCCCCTGGGCTCGCCCTGCCCTCAGCCCAGGGCCCACCAGCCTGTTCCATTCTCTGGTGTCATGTCCTAAGGCTGTGACTGCACTGGGCTGGGGACCGGAGCCCCCTCTGGGCACAGCCTTCCCGGTGCCCTCACCTCTCCCTGTTCTTTCCCATCTGTCCTCAGTGTCACATCGCAAGCCCACTGTGGCGCCAACACGCCAGCCAAGGACCCACTCGGACCCATTTGCCAGGGAGACCACAGATGGAAGGAAGACCCAGGCCCAAATCCGGCTGACTAGGGTGCGTGTGGCATCTTTCCATGGGGCCCAGGGTCCGGGTGGGTGGTTCTGCCACAGGACCCATTGCGTTCTCCCAGCAGCTGGCGCCTCTGCCTGTCATCTCGGCTTAGAGCTGGGTTGCACAGCGCTGGGGCCAGAGCCGGTTGAATGAAGCATTGGCAGAAGAATCAGAATCTTGTTTTATCTTGCCTCTCAAGGAGCATCCTGACGGCCTGAAATTTCCAGGGAATGAACCTGCTGCCCAAATGGAACGCCTCAGTGCAAGGCTTATAGCCAGGCTTTGCATATCTGTTCACATGTGGAAAATCTCTCTGTCTCTCCACTTAACATCCAGGTCTTAACTCACTGCAGGGCTCAGCCACACCCTGCAGTTAGTTCTAAGCTTACACAAAATTCCAGTGTAGCAGACAGACAGATGCTGGGACTCAGAAGTGCCACCTTCCAATTCCAGCGCCAGCACTTGGTGGCTGTGTGACTCTGGATGTGCCCTTCAATCTTTCTGAGCTTCCTGCAGCTTCACCTGTCAGCAGGTAGAGTCTGCCCGCCAGGAGCAGGAGCTGACAGCGTGTGCCACCTGCACAGCCACTGTCAAGGTCTGCACCTCAGACTGCCACCGTCCCTCTTAGCAGGGGTGCCTGTTGCTACTTCTAGTTCTCACTGATCCGAAAGGACCATTTGATATATGAGGTGCATGCATCTTTGCTTTATTTACCCAGCTACCGGCCACCAGCAGACAATGGGGAATTGCCACTTCCGGAGGAGGCCTGCATGGGGCAGGCGTCCTGCGGCGTCCCCTGAGGCCTTGGCCAAACTCGACCTGACCCCGGTCCGACCGCCTCCTCCTCCCTCCACACGCAGACGATGCTCAGGAACCGACGGGCCGCACTGCAGGAGCTCAGCAACCAGGAGCACTTCCTGTCCAAGCTGAATGAGGAGCTGATGAGGACCATCCAGGACATGGAGGACAGCACGGCGCTGAGTGTGCGGGAGATGCTGCATCAGCAGGACACGCTCGCGGTGAGGCCCAGCCCGGCGCTCGGGCGCCCCCTGCTGCTCACTCGCGGCCGGCGCACCGCCGATTCACAGCTGTCCCAGCTTGGGACACACCCCGGAGTCCCCCTTCCCCGCGCGAATAGGCCCAGAGAGGCCCGAGCCGGCTGGCCAGGGGCACATGCGAGATTGGAACCCAAGATGTTGGGAAACGCGATCCCTGCTCTTTGCACCACGCCCCGCTGGCGCCTTTCGGTCAATGGGTGCAGAGGGCAGAGGGGTCTCCTGGCACCCAGGGCCAGCAAATGGGGCTCAGTGACACAGGCTGCCCAGCAGGGAGGGACTGAGCCTGGCCAGGGTCTGTTTACACTTGAGGTGTTCATCCCAAGCATCTCCTAATGGTCGCTAGAAAGCAGCTGTCAGTGAGACAGATGCTGGTTGTGGTGGGACTACAGACTGGAAGCTCTGTGTGTGTGTGCGCCTGTGACTCAAACATGGAGAATCATGAAGGCTGCTTGGGGAAAGGGCTACCTGGCCAGGAACCCATAGAGCAGGTCTTACCTGGCAGAGTCTGGGAAGGTTCCAGGTGGAGGAAAGGTGCCTGAAGACGAGAGAGGGCGTGGCTCCGAGAGCTCTTCGGTGACACCTGTGCACCATGGTGACATTTAAATGAGTGTGGCTAGTAGGGCCTGGCTCCTGGGTTGAGCCTGTGTGTTGGGTGTGTGACAAAGCTGTTAGCTGGGGAGGGGAAACAGTAAGAGAGGGGACAGTCCCACTGGACCTCAGCTCTCTGGGCTGGTTGCTGGGCCAGGGAGGCAGCAAGACTAGGGTGAGCTGTGCCTACCATCCTGCAGGGCGTTGTCAACATCCTGGAGTACTCCAACCAGAGGAGGCTGCAGCAGCTCAAGGCTGAGTTTCAGGAATGGCAAGACCAGGAAAAGCAAAAGATCAGCTGTGAGAATCCCACCCCTCTCCCCAGCCAAGGCCTCAGGCCCGTCCTCTCTGCTCTGGGCAGAGCTAATGGCTCACTCAGCACTCAGCGGGCCCTGGACAGGGTACACTCTCATTCTCTCCCATTTTACAGACAAGGAAACAGAGGCTAAGAGAGGTGAAGCAGCTGGCGGAGGGGAGCTCCAGCCTGGCTCTCATTCTTGTGGCTGGACCAAGGCTGGGTCTCCTGGTTCTGTCCTGCCCCCTTGACTTGTGGTTTCTTCACCAAGTGGATCAGATCCTCCTGGGTGGGGTGGGGCAGGGGAAACAGGCGGCCTCTGATTCTGGGGGTCCTGATCAGGGAAGGGGGTGTACTGACGCCAAGTTAGTCCTGCTGTGGGCAAGTCCTGGGAGCTGGCACTGCCCCCTCAGGCTGGTCTCCCTCCCCCAGGAGTGTGTGTGGAGGGGAGGGCTCCGGGTCCCGGCAAGGGCCAGCCACTGGCCAGAGGGATCTTACTCCCTGTTTACTTCCCTTCACAGTGTTGCCTGGCCTCCTGCAGGGGTCACCACTCCCAGCCTCAAGTGGGATGGACCCCAGGCCGTTGAGGATAACTTGGTCACTCCGGGACTCTCCTTGGGGGAAAATCCTGAGGGCAGATCCTGTTTCTGTCCTCCCTCCCCCTCTTCCAGGCCTGGAGCAGCAGGTGCGACATCTGGATGCACAAAACTGGAAGATCCAAGACCAGGTGCACTTCCTGAGCACATACACGGACCACGAGTATCCCGTCAAGCTGGTGCAGATCGCCGCCCTCGGGCGCCAGGTGCAGCAAGCCAAGGAACGCCAGCAGGTAGGGGCGCCCCTGCTCTGACCTCCGCCTGCCCCTGCAGTCCATCCCACTCCCAACTAGCCACAGGCCGTGCCGACAGCCCTGTGGCCTTCCCCTAGGACGAGTTGAATGACTTCAGCAAGATGCGCAGGCAGATCCTGACCTCTGTGTGGGCCAAGATCCGAGAGAAGCACCAAAGGTCTCTGAGGTTGCTGGTGGCGGTGAGTGGTTAAGTGGCAGGCTGCGTGGAGGGGTGGAGGGTCTGTCCCCTGTCTCTCTGTCCTCCCCGCCACCCCACCCCGCTGTCTTCTCTACCCTGCCTCCTGCCTCCTGGGTCACTCCGGGCACCAGATGGCTCCTTTGCTCTGCAGAAAACCCAACGTCCCCACGAAGAGGAGCTGTTGCGGAAGATGCTGGAGAACAGGTTCATGCAGAAGTGCTCCAGCAGGTTCCAAGAGGTGAGGTGGCTGCCGTTCCCGTGGGAGGGAGCTGTGGAGTGTGTGTGTGTGTGTGTCCAGGGGGAGTGTGTGTGGGGCATCACTAGGGGCTGTGGGTGGAGGCCTGGGGTGGCTTGGGGTGACTCCCCACCCACTCGCGTCATTCAGCACCCAGCTGGGGCCAAGGTGAATGCTGGCCAACAGCCCCTTGCCTGGGACCTGTTAGCAGCCCTGCCTTTTGCCTCCACGCACTCTGCCCTGACCTGGTGCTTCTCCTGGCCTGACCCTCTTGTGTGCCCTCACTGCGAGTGCCCCTTGCTGTTGCTGCCCTGTCTTGGAAGCCGGGTCTATCCTGTGAACAAGTCTATTCTATTCTCCTAGATGTCTTTTTTCTTTTTTTAAAGGCAGAATTAGAGAGATTCCATGCACTGTGTCTCTTCCCAGATGACTACAATAGCCAGGGCAGGGCTGAACTGGGCCAGGCCGAAGCCAGGAACTTTTTTTGGGTCTTCTGTGTGGGTTCCAGGGGCCCAATTACTTGGGCCGTCTTCTGCGACTTTCCCAGGCACGTTATCAGGGAGTTGGATGGGAAGAGGAGCAACCGGAACTTGAACTCGTGTCCTTATGGCATGCTGACACTGCAGGCGGCAGCTTTATCTGCTCTGCCACAGCATTGTCCCCTCTCTGGGTCGTCTTATTCTCTGGGCTTCTCACCTTCCAGCCATCCTCTGTCTCAGTTTATCGCAGAGTTCAAGAGACAGATACCTGCTCTGAGGACCGAGGTGAGGGCGTTGCAGGCCGAGATGTGGAACCCCCGGGAGATCGTATTTGAGGACATTCTGCTCCGGAGACCCAAGTAGGTGACCTGCTCCTGCTGTCGCTGTGGGTGCTCCGGGCTCTGGGAAGGAAGAGCTTGGAGCTGGGTGTGTGTGGGGGTGTGTGTGTGAGGAGGCCTGGCTTGCCACTGGTTTCTGCTCTGGGTCCTGTTTCTGGGCTTCCCTCCTGTACACAGCAGGTTGAGTCAGAAATGCTGGGTAAAGGCACTCCAAGTTTCTAGATTCCACATGCCAGCCGCGCAGGTGCAGCCCCCTCGCGTTTGGGTTGCAGATGGAGAGTTGAGGGCACGGACGGCTGAAGCAGCGAGTGGCCCAGAAGATGCACAGCAGGTCTCCCCGCCTTCCCTCCCTTAGAGGAGGCCCCACAGTGGGTTCTCCCAAGATACCAGGCACCATCGCAGCACTGGGGTCTGCTATTCATCCCCGCCCCCTCCCCCCACCCGTCCCATCTGTCCCTTCTCCTTTTCCTTCAAGGGAAAGATACTGTTGCATTGACCATCCACAGGGCCAGGCCCTGTGTGAGTGACTGACCCAGGCCCCTGGGGCGCCTTGGAGGGACCCAGCACAAAGTCCGGGTGGTGCTGTGGGTGGTGGGGTTGCGGGGAGGTGGTGGCGGGAACAGAGGCCCAGGAGAACAGGTCCTAGGACAGGCAGGGATGGGTTCCCTGGCAGTGTGGCATTCCACTCAGGGTCTGGAGCACGGGCACACGTTGACTGGCACAGGATGAGGAAGGACAAGCAGATGTAGCTGGTGATGCTGGCTCCCTCGACAGCAGGGACCCATTGTCCCGAACTCCCCGGGCTGGCTGGGCGGGGTGCGGCTGAGCCTTCCAGCTGAGCTTACAGAGTCTGGTGTGCTGGGGCATCCGCAGGGCGCTGAATCGGAAGAGGAGAGCCAGGACCCTGCCTGGTGCGCCTAGCTAGGATGTCGCTGCTGCAAACTGCAGCTTAGCATGCTGTGCCAGCATTCCCGTCCTTGTCCAGTTCAACATTTCGGTTATTTGTGTGCGTGGGTGTGCATGTGTGTGAGTGTGTGCAGAGGGGCTTCCCGGGCACAGGCTGCGTTTTGGGATGGGCTCCCCAGGAAGTTCTGAGCATGTTCTACAGAGCAGGGCTGCCCCGAGCCTGTGCTCACCCCTAACTCTGACACCCCCACACCTGATTGCTGTTTGCTGCCAGGTGTACCCCAGACATGGACATCATCATCAACATCCCCGTGGAGGAGCTGCCGTTCTAGACCTCAGCCTCGCCCCGCACCACCCCAGCCCTCCCTGCTCCTCTCCCTGCTCCCCTCCCCCCCTGCTGGCCGCCTGGTCTGTGGAGTCTTGAGTTGTTTCGCTCCCAGCCCAGCTGGTTCTTCATTCAGACCCTGGGCCGTGCAGTTCGCTCTTCTTTCCCTCCCTCCCTCAGTCCTGCCCTACCCGCCGTGTTCTCTCTGTCCCTGTCTCTCTCTCTCTGTCTCTCTCTCCCCCTCCCCACATCCTCTTCCTTTAGCACTGCTGCTGGGCTGGGCGAGTGGGGAAAATTATCAGTGCGACTTGCCATTCCCTTCTACTAATAAAGTTGGATTTGCACTTGCTGGGCGTGGACTCTGAGGATGTCATGGTAATAGACTTGATCCAAAGATAAGGGATCAAGCCGCTGGGCTCACCATATCGGGCTCCAGGCCTCTCCAGAGCCTGGGCCTGCGCCAGCCATCCACACAACCCGGTGTGCTCTCCACTCTGTGGAGGCCTGTGCCAGGCTGGAGGGCAGACCTGCTGACATGGACATACCCAGGCACTTGCTTGGCCTTCCCTGCTGGTGGTGTCTGGCCATCCAGAAAAATGCACGAGGTTGCGGTCACGGACTCACACAGACCAAGGCACAGGGTGGACCCCTCCCCACTGCACACTTTTGCATAGTAGCCTTTGAGATGCCCCGCCCAGACCCCTCTGCCATCTCAGCAAGGCCTCAAAGATGCCCTGGGCAGCAGTCAGCCTCCTCAAGGACTGCCTCAGGTATGTGAGGGCTGTGTACCCACTGCCCGATGGCTGCTTCACGGCCAGGTTTCGAAGGCCCAGATGGCTTGGCTGTACTGGGACACCCTCTGAGGGGCTGCGCTGGCTCCAGAGTTCCTTGTTCACTCAGCCGTGGCTGCCCTTGGCCTGCAGCAGGGCCCTTCTACTGCCGGTCCCAACCCCTCTCCTCCCTCGGCTGATGGCTCAGAGGACGCGCATTCCTAGACTGGGTCCCATGCTGCGCTGCACCTCTGGGGACCCAGTCGGCTAGGGCACCCGAGAGGTTTGGGTTGTGCTTGGGGCCGGGGTACCAGCCAGGAGGTCTGTTGACAGGTGGCAGAACAGCCTACTCAGATTGTCCTGGGCACCTCAACAGCCTGGGTGAGGCTTCCCCAGAAGGTCAGTGGTGGTATTGTCTGGCACCACATGACTGGTCTGCCTAGGCAACCTCTTCCCCAAACCAACACTTGTATGTCTCCAACATGCTACTTTTGCCGGGGGTTCTGTGCTGTTCCTGGTACCCAGCCTGTTGCACAGGGGGACAATGTCCCTGACTAGATTTTTCAGGCAAAGTTTGGACCCATGCTCGATCTGGGCTCAGAGGAGGAGGGTGCCTGTGGGCAAGGGAGAGGTGGGAGGGGGCAGCATGAGGTCTTGCTGAAGCCAAGAGGTCCTCCCAAAGCCAAGGGGTGCTCCAGCACCAGCCTGCAAACTCAAGCCAGTTAGACCCTATGTGAGGGCTTACATCCTTCAATTTATGAAATCATTATAACTCTTGGTGAGTTAAGTATTTTCCCCCCCACAGATGAAAAGACCAAGGGAGGAAAAAAATAACTTTTCCAAAGTTATCAGGTTAGTAAGTGATAGAAGCAGATTCTTTTTAAAAATGTATTGTTTTTGGACCTTACATATGCCACCATCCCACATGGGCACCTTTTTTGTGTCCTGGATGCCCCACTTCCCATCCAGCTCCCTGCTTGTGGCCTGGGAAAGCAGAGGATGGCCCAAAGCCTTGGGACCCTGCACCCAAGTGGGAGACCCAGGTTAGTTTTGGCTTAGTTCTGTCCGTTGATTCACTCTCCAAGTGGCCACAACGGCTAGAGCTGAGCCAATCTGAAGCCAGGAGCCCAGATCCTCTTCTGTGTCTCCCATGTGGATGCAGAGTCCCAAGGTCTTGGGCCATCCTCAACTGCTTTCCCAAGCCTCAAGCAAGGAGCTGGATGGGAAGCAGGGTTGCTGGGATTAGAACTGGCACCTATATGGGATCCTGGCACGTTCAAGGCTAGGTCTTTAGGTGCTAGGCCACCGTGCCAGGCCTTGGAAAGTTAGATTTTACAGAAAGAAGAAGAGACCCAGAGAAAGATCTTTCATCCACTGGTTCACTCCCCAAATGGCTGCAATGGTTGGAGTTTGAGCTGATTCGAAGCCAGGAGCCAGGAGCTTCTTCTGTGTCACCCACATGGGTGCAGGGTTCCAAGGATTAACCATTCTCTGCTGCTCTCCCAGGGCACAAGCAGGGAGCTGGATGGGAAGTGGAGCAGCTGGGACATGAACCTGTGTCCATATGGGATCCTGGTGCTTGGAGGTGAAGGAGAAGCCAGTGGAACCAGCAACCAGCCCCACAATTTGTTTTTAGATTACTGTTTATGAGGAGGGAGAGGGCAGGTACTTCCATTCACCCCTCCAAATGTCTGCACCAGGCAGCACTGAGCAGTGCTGAAGCTGGGAGCAGGGAGTGGAGAGACCCACTCTACCACCTGAGCCCTTAGCTGCCCCCTCCCCGGGGTCTGCATCAGCAGCTGAAATAGGCAGGAGCCCAAGCTGGGACGGGTACACAGGCCAGCGCATCGCAGGATGCAGGCATTTGTACCGCTAGGCAAGAGCTCAAGTGGGCTGACTGTCATTTGCCACTTACCAGGAAGTGATAGGGCTGGAATGTTGGTGTCCCTCCAGGAGTCCCTAATGAGATGAGTGGCGAGGTGGGCATTGGGGCTTTTTATGAAGGAGACAGGTTTTTAATTTCAGCTGGACCCAGTGAGTTTGTCCCTTTTCCCCCCCCCAGCTTTCAGGGAGTGAGCTGTGACAGACATCACACTTGCTGGCTTCTTAACTTTCAACTTGCTTTTCTGCAAAACAGCAACAAACAAATTTCTGTTGCTTAGAAATTAGCTGACCTGAGTATTTTGCTATGCTTGTAGCAGCCAGATGTGGATGTACCGAACAAGTCCAGGAGATGGCGGTAGAGGCCAATAGACACTCACCTGCTGCGAGCCTGACCAGGCACTGGCTGGCACACAGGAGCCAGGTTAAGGCCTCCTGAGGCAAGGTGTCTTTGGGGATTCCCGCAACTGGACCGCTGGAGTCAAAACTCCAACCACAGGGAAAGTCACAGGATCTGTGGTCTGACCGTGGAGTGCATGTGTCAGAACTGCAAAGTATATGCTTACAATGAAAGAATGAGGATTGGATTTGATCTGTAATACTGCAACAAGGTGGAGAAATCCACCATGGGGAAAGGGTACGGGGAGGGCCTGGGGGAATCCCAGAGCCTATGAAACTGTGTTATAAAATCAAATGTAATTAAACAAACAAACAAACAAACAAACCACTGGGCCTCCTCAGTTGCTGAAGCTTGGGCATGCCCAGATGCACATGTGACAGTCCATTGTGCCTGTATTTCTTTTTTTTTTTTTTTTTTTCTTCCCCATAACGTGCTTTAATAGTCATGCAAGTGTAATAGACATCATACGTATTTAGGAATGAAATGTGATGTTCAAAACTTTATTATTATTTTTAAAAGACTTTATTTTTATTAGATTTACAGAGAAGAGGAGAGACAGAGAGAAAGATCTTCTGTCCTCTGCTGGGCCATCCTCTACTGTTCTCCCAGGCCACAAGCAGTGAGCTGGGTGGGAAGTGAAGCATCTGGAACATGAACTGGTGCCCGTATGGGATCCCGGCACATGCAAGGTGAGAACTTTAACCACTAGACCAACCTGCTGGGCCTTAGTGCCTATTGAAAAAATCGTTTTGAAAGATTTAGAGAGAGGGAGAGAGAGAGAGAGAGAGAGTGAGAAAGAGACACACAGAGAGAGACAGGGACACAGAGAGAGATCCTTTATCTGCTCTTGCACTCCCACAAGGCTGTAATGGCTGGCACTGGGGCAGACAGAAGGCAGGAGCCAGGAGCTTCTTCTGGGTCTCCTTGTGGCTGCAGGCACCCAAACACTTGGACTGTCTTGCTGCTCTTTCCAGGCATGTTAGCAGGGACCTGAATTAGAACCAGCACTGTTCTAGGAATGCTGGCATTTCAGCGGGCAGCTTTCACTGGTATGCCACAATACTGGCTGTCTTGTCTACTTTAAAGAAAATAAAACTGCTTATTTATTTGAAAGGTAGAATGATAGAAAGAGATGAAGAGAGATCTTTCATACGCTGGTTCAATCCCCACTAGCAGAGCTGGGCCACACCAAAGCCAGGAGCTGGGCACGCGTACATGGGTGGCAAGGGCCCAAGTGCCTGGACTGCCACCTGCTGGCTGCCGGGTGCGTTAGCAAGAAGTTGAATTGGAAGAGCAGCCAGGACTCTAGCCAGCAGTGTGAGGGGGAATGCTGGCATCACAAGCAGCTTCTCAGCCTGCTTTGCTGCAGGGCCAGCCCCTCTTGCCTCTTCTTGATGAGTACTCCATCCGTGAGATGCATCTGGACCATCGGAGTGATGCCTCGGCGTCACTGCTGTGGAGTAGTGCAGCGGGTAATTGCACGGACCTCGTCCCTGTCCTGATGAGGGGCGAGCACGTGGCTCTCCTCTGGGGTTACTCTCATGCTCTGAGCATTTTGTATGCACTTTGTCTCTTAGTGCAGAACACATTTTCCCCCCTAAAAACATGTGCATTAACGCCTGCATGTGATTATTGAAAATGGTGGAAGTATTTTACTGTCCTAGGCTATCACACTAATTCTTTTCAAGTCGTTTCTCATAGTTCCTCTCTGTGGTTGTGCCACGAATTCAGAGGATGAGTTAAACAAGTGTCTTTGTTTGTGTGTTTGTTTTAGTGATTTCTTTGTGAAATTTTGATGTTTTGATAGTGAGTGAAAGGCTTCAAAACGATATAGCCAGAGAACTCACACCTGTCCACATCTGATTTCCTCCTCCAATAGACGTAAACATTTCCTTCCTTTTAAAAATAATGTATGCGTGTGTGAGATGCTTTTGTTTCTCTCTCTTTTCCCTTCTAACAGTCTCTTTCCACCGGAAG